AGAGGAGGAGGAGGCCTTCCTCCCTCTCCTACTTACGGTGGTGGCGGTGGAAAACGAGCCCACCATCCGCGCCCGGGGATGGGGATGTTGAGACCGCGGACCGCCCCAGACTGCTCGGAGGGCCGCTCGAGCTGGGACCTGGGACTCCTGGGGGTAGGCCAGCCGGGCCGGAACTGGTTACCCGGGGGACTGTCTGCGGGCAGCCCTAAGCCTTACCAGCGTCCTGGCACGATCCCTCGCTACGCCCTGCGCGCATAAATCTAGACCAGCTGCGCAAGTTCACGCAAGCTTTGCACTGGCACCATTCTGAGACGAGCGTCTCGGCTACGAAAAAAAAAGAACTGCTGTGTAAGCAGATGAGGGACAACGGCGGGGGGAGACCAGCTCAAGGGGGGAACTTCGACCTGGAATCGGCGGTGCATCGCCGGTAGGTAGATAGGCCATGGGCTCTCGATGGCAACTCTGGACGCTCCTCAGAGAGTTTGGCTACAAGGCCCCTGCGGGAAATCAATTGGCTACTGGGGGTCGATGTTCTCCTCTCCTGACCCCATTTGGTGGCAACTCATGGGAGTCTCCCATACCATCGTGTAGGTTCTTGCGAATCGACGCAAATCGACGCCACATTGACGCTAATCGAAGCTAAGTCGACGCTAAATTGGCGAACACCGACGCTAAGTCGTCGTTATCTCATTGACTCCAGACGCTAATCGACGCTGCTCGGCGCCGATTACAAAAAATGCGAGGGTATAGCAGGCTCCCGTATGTGCTACCGAACCCACCTCACCCCGACGTTGGTCCTGACCGAACAAGACACAAACTGCACAAACGCAAACGCTTGGACTTGGAGGCTTGGAAACGAACAGCGAAGCTGATCCCAGATGTTGGGGCTGGTGGTCATCTTCTGGCCACCTGGGAAGCCCGACATTACCACCATCGCCGAGATCTGCGTCATCTTCCTTCGGTGGAGGCACACCGCCGATACTGCTGCTGGGGCCAACCTCCAGGTGCAGCATGGGCCCGACCACAAGAAACCTTCCACAAGAAACCCCACCCTGAGACCCCAGGGCGTCCACTGACTCTTGGCGGGCACGTCGCGCCCTCCAGAGCAGAACCGTCGGCACCCAGGAAACCCGGGGCACCTTGGCGGCACGCAGGGTGCTTCCTGGCATGGACCTCCACTGCATGCGATGGACGCCCGCGCGGATGTCCCGCGTCGGCGCCGGGGCCCCCCACCTCCGGAGAGCGTGGAGCGCGCTGGGAATATGTCGGGCGCGTCCCTCAACAGGGGGGAGCTTCGACGAAAGATCAAACATGCCCCAAAAATACCCCCAAAAGGTAAAAAAATACTCAAAAGATAGTCCCCAGACTATGTTTGGACTATGTTTTGAATATTTTTTGGGTACTTTATACCTTTCGTCGAAAACCTCCATGTCGGGGGACAGGCCCGACTTAACGCTGGGGGGCGACGACGCTGCGCTGCTCCCGGCGCTGGCCCGGGAGATCGGCGCGTGCGAGGAGGCTGGGGGGCTCATCACCATCGGTCGAGTGGGCTGTCGGCTGCAGACGGAGCGCATACGAGAGGACACGTGACAGGACACGAGACTCTTCTGGCGGTAGCATGGCCTCCAACAGCCACAGTACACAAGGGTGCCCTGCTGAGGCCGCGGCCGCGGTCACCCGCGGCCGACCCGCAGTCCGATCACGCAGAGGACATTAGAAGGGATGCACAGGACACAACGCGTACCCTTGAATTTGCAGGATCGACCTGCCAATGCGCGTCGACTGTACAGAGCTGAATTGCCCAAAACTTAATTTTCTCGTCGAGCCCATGAAGAAAGCGTAGAATGTGCGTTCTACGAACATTATGCAAACTTTTTGTTGTTTTCATGGTCACGGCAGGGAAACCAATTCTGTGGCAGTTCAAACCAATCCTGTAGTCGATCCCCTACGCGAATCGTAGGCCACCCAACTTCGCGCCATCGCGCCCCGCGATGCGCGATCCACTTCGCACCCTCGCGGCGTGGCACCGCGCCTCCTGGAGAAGGGCGGCTCTCCAGTCCGGACCGCGACGCGCGGGTCCCCGTCGTGCTCCCGCGGGCGACGTACACTGCAGGAGCCTGGCCAAAAGAAACCTTCCGCGAGAAACCCCACCCTGAGACCCCAGGACGTCCATTGAGTCCTGGAGCGGGAACGGCACGCTGTCCACAGCAGGGGCATCGAAACCCAAGAAACCCAGGGCACCCTGGGGGGAAAGCAGGGTGCTTCTTGGCATGGGTCCCCACTGTAAGAGTATCCACCGTCCGGGGAACCGATGTCCTGCGGTCCCGGGTGGCAGCGGATGCGGGTGTGCTTGGGGCCCCAGTGGGCGAGCGCAGGTGGCGACATCCAGACCCTGCCCCCGCCAACCACCCGTTCTCCTCCATCGATAGGCGGCGGGGAGAGGGCCCAGAAATCGCAGCGCGTTCGCCCTGCCGCCCATCGGGTTGCCTGCATCGTTGATCGGCGAGGGCAGGGTATGGACTTCGGGGCCGAGAGTTTACATGTCCACATCCACGGCCTCCCGAGGTCCAAAAGGATCCACTTCCCAGCCTCGAAGCACGGGCCTGGGGTTATGTTGCTCCCATCGTACTTAAAGACCACAACCCAGAAATAATCTCGAGCACCGGGGAAAGCGTCGAAAGAGTGTCGAAAGAGTGTCGAAGCAGTGTCTCCCAGGGCCCGACACGTCAAACCCCTTGAGTTCTGGGGTGCGCTCGCAATTCTTCCTTGCGATCAGGGCTAAAGCAGGCTGGAACAACATAAGACTGGGGGAACAAAAACGATACCGACACCGCTACTATTAAGTCGGGCCTGTCCCTCTACAGGGGGATCTTCGACGAAAAAGAAACCCAAAAATAGTCAAACAATAGTCCAAAAATAGTCCGGGGACTATTTTTTGATTATGTTTGACCTTTTTGGGGGTATGTTTGGGGGTATCTTTGATTTTTCGTCGAAGCTCCCCCTGCAGGGGGACAGGCCCGACTTAAGGCCACTCCACGACCCTTCCAAGGAGGGTGCTACTCCCGACCAGAACTTCGAGGCGCATCCTGCCGTGACGACGAGGGCAGCGGCAGCGGCGCCGGCGCCCCCTTTCCCGCTCCGGGGGGCCTCCTCCTCCGAGAGCGTGCGCCTGTGCCGCCTGCTGCTCCTCCTGCTGCTCGGGGTGGACGTGCACCTAAGAGCGTGGCGAGCGCGCGGCGGGGGCGAGGACGCGGCCGCTGACCAGCCTCGGGTCGGGCATGTCCCCCCTATACAAAGGGGTTTGGGGCGAAGAACAAAAGAAGAAGAAGAAGAAGAAGAAGAAGCACGCAAGACATGCAGCAGCGATCCAGGATGCGGCCAAAAAGATCGTCCCCTGACGATCTTGCACTATTTCTGGATATCCCTCCCTTAGAGGGACAGGCTCGGCTTGAGCCCAGCCCTCCTCCCGTGCCCCCTCGTCTCTCGGGCCGCGTGGCCGGCCAGGGCCCCATGGGAGCCCACGGTCGGGCCGCTGGGGGTCTCTGGAGGGCCTCCCATTCGGGAGCGGCCAAGAGGGGGGAGGGTCCAAGAGGGGGGGTGCAAATCATGACCGGCGGCACGTGCGCGGCCCAGCGGGGGGGGCCAGGGAACGTCATGAAATGAGAAGAGGCGCCACGAAACCTGGGGAGATATATCATGGCCCGCGCCATGATATCCCCCCCCCTAGTCATCACCCCCCTCTCTGCCGCCCCCGACCCATGGGCAACTGTTCTTGAGACTCCGGCAAGTTCACCTGCTCGGAGGGCAGGGGAGGGGGCGTGGGGAGGCACGGACCGAATGGCCTCGTGGCATGGACGAGCCGCTCCTTGGCCGCTCTCGGAAGCCGGGGACCCTCGCTGGGCCTCGGGACCTCGCCATCGCTCGGACGTCCCATTTCCTGTGTTCTTGTCGGTTTCGTGCGTGGTTTTTTCGCCAAATGGTCAAGGATGCTCCTCGATGGTTTTCGCCGAGAAAGAAATTCACACGTCCGAGCGATGCCAGGGGACAGTCAAACGACGAATTAGGACGAAACACCGGCCCGGTGGAAGTGGTGCAAACCTCCATGGAGCAGGGGCCGACCGTCCTGGCGTGTGTTACTTTCGAACAACATCTCGCACAGACTACAGAAGGTCCTCAGAACATTCTCTGGTGGGCCCATCTGCCAGCCTGGACGCTTCTTCTCTTACCAGCCTGGAACACATCCCTATCCCCAAGCTGGGCATCGCCTCATCACGATGCCAATCTTAGGGATCCCCTTAGTTTTTGAGTGCGCATGCCTATACCCCAGAAATGCCCCAAAATGGTCAAAAAATATTCAAAAAATCGTCCCCTGACTATTTTTTGACTATTCTTGAATAGTCCTCCTGTAGAGGGACGGGCCCGGCTTAAGGAGAAGTTCGAGGCTGGTGCTTCACTGCACGACTCCGGGGCCCGCCCACGGGCAGCTCAGCACTGCTCCGCCGCTGCTCAGAACTGCAGGGTCGGCCAAGAGAGGGGGGTCCAAGAGGGGGGGGTGCAAATCATGACCGGCGGCACGTGCGCGGCCCAGCGGGGGGGCCAGGGACGTCATGAAATGAGAAGAGGCGCCATGAAACCTGGGGAGATCTCATGGCCCGCGCCATGATGTCCACCCCTCCCTAGTCATCACCCCCCTCTCTGCCGCCTCCGAGACACACGTGCCCACACCCACGCCCTCGCGGCCCCCCGGGGCCCCCCATCGTCGACGTCGGCGATGCATCGGCGACGTCGACGTGAAGCAAATTGGGCTGCACACCGAGCCGCATCGGCGATACATCGGCGATGCGGCGCGATCCTCCGACCCCATCTACTCGGACCCCATCCAGGAGGCCTAGAGCAGCTCAGCACTGCTCCGCCGCTGCTCAGAACTGCAGGGCCGGCCGGCGGCCCCCCGCCCCGGGGGGCGGCCAGCGGCTCGCCCGCGCCCCCGCCCGCCGCGGGAGGCATCGCCGAGGGCGCGGAGGGCGGGCCGCGCGCATTCGCCGCACGGCAACCCCCGCCCACCGCCAGACGGGCCCAGGGCCCCCTCTACACCAGGACGCTGCCAATCTCGGGTCGGGCACGCCCCCCTACAGGCGGATCCTGGACGCACTGTTTTTTTAAAGAGTCAGCACGTACCCCAAAATGATGGAACGTAGATTACCAGCCTGGAACATATCCCTATCTCTATGCTGGGCATCGCCCCACCACGATGCCAATCTCAGGGATTCCCTTATTTTTTCAGGGCACATCCCTGAGATTGTCATCGCCTTTGGGCGTGCCAATCTTAGGGATAGGGATAAGTTCGAGGCTTGTAAGTAGACGGGGAAATTCGCCTCCAGACTATATCTGGACTGTACTCCTGTACTCCTGAAGATTCCCATGTTTCCGACGCACGTCCGGAAGAACAACAAAAACACATCGCGTGCTCACTCGCCGTCTCCGGTGCGGGGGCGCCCCCGACGGGCCCTCGACGGGGCCGTCCACAGAAGCGCTCGGGAGGGAGCGCCGGCCCCGTGGGACAACGACGAGCCTTCCAGGGGCCCTGTGTTTCATGGGCCTGTTTTCCACCACCACCACCATAAGTTGGAGGGGGAGGGGGTCCTCCTCCTCCTCCTCCTCCTCCTCCTCCTGATCCTCCTCGTCCTCCTCCTCCTCCCCCCTCCAACTGATGGTGGTGGTGGTGGTGGAAGACAGCGCCCATCATGCGTTGGAGCAAAAACCAGGACATCGCGTGTCTGGGACACAAGAACTTTTGGAAACTTCCACGCGCGTGCGGCGAAAAAGGAATTAGGTCTTACACAAAATGCACGCAGTTGTTAATACATAGTGTTTTTTGTTTTAACTATGTGTTTTTCATACTTGATTAATGTATGAATACATGCCTGCATGAACTCGTCGTTGTTTTTAATACTCAATCCCTGCATTATTGATACATGATCCGCACGCGGAGCATGTACTAAAAGCGGCACTGTACTCGCCATCGCTCGGACGTCCACTCCCTGTGTTTCTTTCGGTTTCGTGCGTGGCTTTTTCGCCAAACGATCAAGGATGCTCCTCGATGGCCCTCGCCGCAGGAAAACTGCACGCGTCCGAGCGATGCAACCGGGCACTGTGTGGCACAGACCCTGCGCGGTGGCCTCCGCGGGCCGCCCGCGAGGGCACGCCTCGGCGGTGGGAACGAGGGCGCTGGCGCGCGGCCTCCCGCGGGCAGCTCACGAGTTGAACGCCCGCGCAGCCGACCTGGGTCTTCTGCCTCCCAGCCTGCAGCATATCCCTATCCCTGCGTTGGGCATCGCCTCATCACGATGGAGATCTCAGGGGGTTCCTCAGTTTCGGAGGGCGTATCCCCAAGATTGCCGTCTCCTTGTAGCGTGTCATTCTTAAGGATAGGGATAGGTTCGAGGCTGGTGATCTGCGCTGCTCACCTGGAGGAGCCGAAGAATGCTACGTGTTCGACCGTTCGGCGTTGGGCAAACCTCCCTTTGGTAAGCCTCCCCTTAGTAAAAAAAACGGCCTGGGACCGAAACCGACGGACCTGGACCCGCAGAAATGACGGCCGCGGCGCCCTCTCGCGAACCGAAAACGGCCAATTCCTTAATCGACGTGTCAGGGTATGAGGTTTGACCCCTTGCTGCTCACGTGTCTTGGGCGGTCTTCGGCTGTCCTCTGAGGGTCTGCGGCGGCCGTCGGCGAAGTTCGGACGGTCTTTGGCGGTCATCTGACGGTCGTCGGTGGTCGTTGGGCTGTCTGGGGCGGCCTTCGGCGCTGAAGCTAGGCGGCTGCGCTCCACAAGGAACACACCATCGAGCACCCACAGGAATGGGGCAAGCTCCGCCCCACGGCTGCAACGTCTCCGGGCGCGCCAGTGTCCCGGTTTACCAGCGTCCCCGTGAAGGGGGCCCTGACGGGCAGCGGCCGCTGCCGCGACGGACGGTGCAGGGGACCGCGAGGCCATTTGTGCGCGGGCTCGCCCGGCGCCGGCGTGTCAAAAAGAAGCGAATAGAGGCCTCCTAGATGGGGTCGGAGTAGATGGGGGTCAGATGATCGCGCCGCATCGCAGATACATCGGCGATGCATCGGCGATGCTTCGGCGCTGCACTGGCGATGCATCCTCGACGTCGGCGATGCATCGGCGGCGTCGACGTGAAGCAAATCGGGTTCAACATCCAGCCGCATCGTCGATGCACCGGAGATGCGGCGCGATCCTCCGACCCCACCTCTCGCCATCGCTCGGACGTCCAATCCCTGTGTTTCTTTCGGTTTCGTGCGTGGTTTTTTCGCCAAAAGATCAAGGATGCTCCTCGATGGCCCTCGCCGAAGGAAAAATGCACACGTCCGAGCGATGCCAAGACCTACGCCGACCCCATCCAGGAGGCCTGGAGCGAGGGCCCCGAGAGATCCGGGAGCTGCAGGCTTGTCGGGGGGATCCAGGAGGGGGGGCGTCCGAGAGGGGGGGGGGGTCGCAGATCGTGGCCCGAGGCACATGCGCCGCCCGATGGGGGCGGGCGCAGAGGGCACGTGTTGGAAGAGGACGGGCACGAGATCTGGGAGACACCACATGGCCCTCGGCATGATGGTGATGACGATGACGATGATGATGACGATGATGATGATGCTGATGATGATGCTGATGATGATGATGCTGATGATTATGATGCAGATGACGATGATGCTGAAGATAGTGTTGATGATGGTGATGGTGATGATGAGGATGAGGATGAGGATGCTGATGCTGATGGTGACGATGATGATGATGATGATGATGATGGTGACGATGATGACGATGACGATGATGATGATGAAGATGACGATGATGATGAAGATAGTGCTGTTGATGGTGATGGTGATGATGAGGATGAGGATGCTGATGCTGATGATGATGATAATGATGAAGATGACGATGACGATGACGATGACGATGATGATGATGATGATGATGATGATGATGATGATGATGATGATGATGATGATGATGATGATGATGATGATGATGATGATGATGATGCGCTCGCTGCAAATGCTATACCACAGTACTGGGCAGTGACTTGTGCGAGCTCGGCGGGGACTTCGGAATACCCGCACTGTGACCTTGCTATGCGGAGCGGGTTCGAGCCGGAGGGCCACGGAGCAAACACCACATGGCCCCCGACATGACACAGTGGAGGCCAGTCCACAAGAAACCTCCCACAAGAAGTCCAACCCTGAGATCCCAGGGCGCCCATTGATTTGTTCGGTGTGGGAACGTCACGCCATTTAGAGCAAAACCATCGAAGCCCAAGAAACCTGGGGCACCCTGGAGGCAAGCAACGTATTTCTTGGCATGGGCCCCAACTGTATGGAGCATCAGTGAACCGATCCCTGTCCCCACTGGCGTAGCCTGGCCCCCACTGGTCGATTTGCCCGCCCTGGCTGGGGATGCAGGCTGTCCCTTTCGGGATTCGATATGGGTATATCCCCAAAGAAGCTGGAGGGATGGTGGGGCTCGCAACGGGGATGGGGACGGAGACCGGAGAAAGGATGCTGTGATATTCAGCCTTCGGTGGCAACTCATTGGAGCCTCCCATACCATCTTGTCGGCGCTTGCAAATCGACACAAATCGACGCTAGTCGACGCTAGTCGACGCTAAATCGGCGCCATCTCGTCGACTCCCAAACGCTAATCGACGCGACTCGACGCTAAATACGGAGTTCAGAGGGTACAGTAGAGGCCAGTCCTCAAGAATCCTTCCACAAGAAACCCAACCCTGAGACCCCAAGACGTCCATCCATGTTTGGTTTGGGAACGTCACGCTTTCCAAAGCAAGACCATCGAAGCCCAAGACACCCAGGGCACCCTGGAGGCAAGCGGGGTGATTCTTGGCATGGGCCCACATTGTACCACAGGGCTCCCGACATGATATGAAGCATCGTTGAACCGTTCCCTGTCCCCACTGGCGTAGCCTGGGCCCCACTGGTCGACTTACCCCCCTGGCTGGGGATGCAGGCTATCCCCTTCGGGCTTCGGTCTACCAGGCTCCCATGACTTGCTGCCCAATCCGCCCCCCCTGGTCATCACGCCCCTCTGGACCGCCCCCGGCACTCTTTTGTCGCACCCCGAGCGCTCTCGCCGGGCTCTCCGGGGCCTCGCGGGGCCATGGTCGGGCCGATCCGGCTCGGGACGCGCCGCAGGAAGGTTCGGCTTTGGACAAACCTCCCTCTAGTAGACCTCCCTTTAGTGAAAACGGCCTGGGGCCGAAGCCGACGGATCTGGACCCGCAGAAATGACGGCCGCGACGCCCTCTCGCGAACCGAAAGCGGCCAATTCCCTAATCGACGTGTCAGGGTAGGAGGTCTGTCCACCCCCGAAAGGTGGGCGCTGCTCAGATGGGGGGCGACGCAGTGAGCCGTCGTCTCACCCGACATGACGCGGCGACCTCACGCGGTGGCCTGCGCGGGCCGCGGGCGCGGCACGCTGCGCAGGCACTGGAGACGAGGGCGCCGACGCGCGAGCCGGCGCGGGCATCCGTCGCGCAAATGTTGGCGAAGACGACACCGTTTTTTCTGTGTCGCTGTGTCGCTCAAAACTGGGGGGGCGGAGAAGCGTGAACCCCCGCATCGATTGCGCCCCAATTCCGCAACGCCATAAGGAGGATGGGTTCAACTAGGGCTCCCAACTTCGCGCTTCGCGCTGCGCGAATGACTTCGCGCTCTTGCGCCGCCCCCCTAAAGGGAGAAAAGGAGGACGAGGAGGAGGGGGAGAAGGAACGAGGACCGCGAAGCGCAAATAACTTCGCGCCCTCGTGGGAGCCCTTGTTCAATAGCTCCGAACGTGATGTTTGATAACGTTTGCACTTGATTTTCTCGCGGCGTCGCATCGCAGGGCAGGAGTGACGACGCGGCGGGCGGCAAGGTGCGAGGCAGAGCGCCTTGGATGGGCTCGCTGCATGGACCGCTGCGCGGAAAGCCAGCGACCACGGCCACAGCAAGAGCGCACCCTGGCAGATGTTTCAAGAGAGCCAGGATCGAATCGATCTGCAGACTCGGCGGTCGGTCTGAATCGGATTGGGGGACATCGGCAGCCAAGCCAGGAGAAGTCGAATCGGCGGAACTCGGCGGGTTGGAAAAGCTTCCATTGAGAAACCGAAGCCCACATCGGAATCCGAGGTCGAATCGAATCGAAACCGGAATCGATCAAAATCGAATCAGATCCAGTCGGAGGAGAGGAAATGAGCCCTGACGCCTTGCACAGATCAACAACATCGTCAGAACATCGAAGCCAGCTACGTACTGGTCGTGGTCGACGTGATGCCCCAGGACGGCCCAATCGACCACGCCCACGAACACAGTGCTCGTGCCGAGATCGGCGGGTTGTCCCCCGCGGGGCCCTGTGGAAGAATCTACTTAACTGTGGCTGTGGCTCATTGGCCGCGGCGGCGGACCTCCTCCCTCTCCTCCTTCCTCCCTCCTCCCTCCTCCTCCTCCTCCTCCTTCTCCTCCTCCTCCTCCTCCTCCTCCCCCTCCTCCCCCTCCTCCCCAGAACCGCGTCGTTCCGCTGGCCCGGCGGGGCCGAAGACTTCGGCGAGTGGATGTGGTGCACCAGCGCCTCGGTGTGCTCCACAAATTGGGGGACCAGGGCGTCTGTACATCCAGACCCCCGACGTGCCATCATGTTTTTGAGGACGTGGACCACCGGGGGTCTCGACCCATTCCCAGGGACTGGCCTTTCATCCTGAGTCGATGTTCGACGGTCAGTCCCGAGGGCCTGGCGAGGGCCTGGGCCCACAGAGAACCAACAGTAGCAAAACAATGTCCATCATGACTCTTTGACGAGAGGACACGCACGCACCAAAACCAATAGAGGGGTTGGAGGGAGGAGTGGATGTGGGTATGGGCGCGGGCTGTCGGACCCCTGGGGAGGACCTGTTCGAACGGGGACCCCATCCGACAACACGCACCCATAGCCCCCTCCGCCCCCCCTATGGGTACTGGTGTGTGTTTTCGTTCGTCATCTTTCACGACTCGAGGGGGTCAGGTGCGGGCAAACGTTCTTGAAGGGGCCCTGGGACACACAAATAAATACACACAAATAAAGATATTCCCCATATTTTCCTATATTGTCTGGGTTTCTGCCTTCCCCCCACTTCCCATATTTTCACATATGTTCTGGGGAATCGAGGATTAATTGTGTCTGTGTTTTTTTTTCCCTCCTGAGTTCTGTCCATGATCAGTGCCACTTGGATTTCCTGGACAGGGGCGCCAAAAGGCCGAGGGGCAGTGGGCACTGAGAACCATCCTGCCTGTGAAGGCCAGGCTCTTGTCCCTAGCCTCGGGCTTCTGGGGAAGGAAGCTCGAGACTACAAGATGCAGCGGCTACAGTCGGGGCGTTGACCTAAGGAACCCTAAATAAGGAACGAGGCCCCTTTATTCCATAAGTTAAATGTCGATTTCCGATCGAAAACAGAAGGAACACCTGAGGCAAGCTGTGAAATACTTAAGGAACGCGGAGCTCCTCCCCAACCAAAAGGGTTCCTTCTTCAGGGCCCCGACTGTATGCATGTGCACCTTGCCCGCGTGAGGGTGCCCACCCTGACAGCCTGGGAGCTCCGAGGGCCACGGTGGGGTCGGGGAAGATGGGGTCGGCGTAGCTGGGGCCCGAGGATCGCGCCGCATCGACAATGCATCGGCGATGCACCAGCGAGGTTTGTGCTGCACTGGCGCCGTCGGCACGGAGCGAAGCGGGCTCCCCATCGAGCCGCCCCGCCGATGCACCGGCGATGCGGCGCGATCCTCCGACCCCATCTCGGGGGGAACGAAAGGGGGGGGATAGCAAAGGGTAGGGTAGAGAATCAGCTCATGTAGCTGATTTTCCCAACGCCTCCCGGCGCCGGGAGGCGCCCATGTATCGAGGAATGGGCCGGGCCGGGGGGGGGGGGGGGCGAAACCAGCTGCATGCAGCAGATTTCGTACCCCCCCCCTTTCCCTATCCCCCCTCTCGTTCGGCCCGACCATCTGAGCGACGAAAACAA